AAAAAGAAAAAAAATAATAATAATATTCCCACATTCATTTGTTCACAGCCTACCATTTAGTCGATGGGGATCATGCCCACCTAGATCAGGAGTGGGAAAACTTGATGCTGTTTATGGATCCAGCGATCACCTCTTATTGTTGCTTGCGCGAACGACGGACTTCGTCACAAGGGATCGCGCCAGAAAAATGCAGGTAAGAAAGCAAAACGGCGGGCAATGGCGCCCACCATCAGGATTCTTCCCGCCTGGCATGGGTCGGAGTGGGCCGCCCAGTTCGCAACATGGTCTGGGCACTGGGATGCCCGCACCCCCCGGACCACCGCAAGTGCCGCCAATGGCCGCTGCTGGCATAGCACCTCCAGGCAAACAGAGGGAAAACAGTCCTCCTATGTATGGAATGGTCCCAAACACAGGATCTACCCGCCTCCCATCCGGGTTTGCTGAAACACCCCATCAATCTCCATCCTCGAAATCAGATAGCGAAAACGACGATCTCGAAACAAGAACGGCAAGAGCAGAAGCCGAATGGAAAGAAATCGTCGCAGTCTACGATGCTTTTGAAAAAGCACTAGGACCAGGATATAACCCCCTATCAGCCGACAGCGCCCCGCCGATTGCCACACCTTTCGGTCCTGCCCTCCAATACCGTACGCATACCATCGCCTGTGTCTGGTCTCTATTTTACACTGGCCGCATCATCCTCGAAAGAGCACATCCGAGCATGCCACCAGAGGCCATGGTGGCCGCGGGTATCTGCGCATTCCGCACAGGCCAGTTCGCAAATAGCATTGGCCGTATCGTTGCTGGGATCTACTACCCGCAACAATTTGATGAAAACACAGCAAGCCTCATCCCATCGCTCTCTGCGGTGCTTACAGAACTCATGATCCCTCTGTTCTTTGCAGGCGTACAATATACCGACGCCGCCCAACGTGGTGGACGATTGCTAAACTACGCAACATTGCGCGATGACAGCGGCAGTTCGGCAACAGCGGTGCGTCTGATGCGAGACAGCATGGGTAAAGGCTTC